ATCAGGTGGCGGGCGAGCTAAATGGCCTATAGGCTGCGCAGGGCTGCTACCGGGACGTTAATTATATCTGCCCGTAAAGCTGTTCGGTGCCGCTATTTATTGGCGGCTAACTAAGGTTAATTGAATGGGCCCATGTCTTGACGCTGTAACGCAAGTATAAATAAAATTAGATACGCTTTATCACGCCAAAGAAGACACAGACAACGTTTGGTAACTGAGATCAAAATCTGCATACGATTTGATTTGAACAAAGAAATATAAGATTTCTCGGAACACAATGTAATTTTGGTTCGCATATAAAATAAATTACTGCAACTGCCAAAACAGAGTCTTCCAACACGGCGGCAAGTACCCAAGTCAATTAATAATAAAACACCAAAACAGGGGTCAAAACATCGACAATACATCATCGCAACACGCTTGTAAACCGCGTCACTACATCATCTTCAGCGTGGTATTTCTCGACCCAGTCAGCGTTGGTAAAAACTCGCACTGTCCGAAAAGAGATCCGATCGAATCGATCACAGTCACATGCCTAAGGTCTGTCAAGCGAAGCGAAGCGCAGGCCACCTCTTCTTGTAGAGATCGGTGTACCGCCAGCCTTACGGCCCGCTGAGAACCACTACACGCTGCCATACGTACACGTTAGAATCAATCAATACGAATAAATAGTATAACTAATGCGCGAGTACGTGATAACTATAAAAGCAATCCCATTCTGTAATTGATTGAAGAGCAATAGAGACAATGGCTCCGGCGATCGGAATCAATATGGAAACTCATAACAAGACGGCAGCAGTCCCCGACGGATTAGGGCCGAACCGTCGATCTGCCTCACGGGTATAAATTATTTATGTAAATTTTTTCGACCGTTCGAAATTGTATTTCAGTATCGACGTGATTAATGTTGACGGATTTTTCACTTGGCCTCTCCCCAACGAAACGATCAAATAAATGACGCTGCAATTGGTACGAACTCCAGAGTAACCTCTACTGGGAATTCATTAGTATCTCCGTCGGGGAGAGAGGATATAACGCCCGTGATTACACAATACTGTTCGCTCTACAAATAGGATATTCATTTCTTTATATTTGAAAGATTTTTCTGTCAAGAAAAAAACTTTAAGGGCATTTGAAGACAATCCAACAGAACTACAGTGCAGTCACGGTTTTGGACATACGGAATTTGTTCAAAAAGCATAATACCCTTAAAATCTAAAGGTCGGGATGCTGTAAATGACGTGATGGGATCCAATGAACCTTATTACGAACAATGCATGGTTGAATCGAGACTCACTCGAGTGATATTTCCGACAGGAGCCGAGGGGCGCATGCGTTTAATGAAATCAAAAGGATTAAGAGCATCTGCCTGCTTGTTATTCAAATCGATTGGGAGCTCGTTTATCATTTAAAATAAGCTATTGCTTAGATAAACGCGGGGTGTGGTTCATGTATAACAAAGGCCGCGGTCCTCGGAAGCCAATTAACTAACCAGTTATTAATAGTATGAGGAATGCTGACGCATAAAGGGCTGCTTTAAATATTAAGGTTGAGGAGTTGATTTTCTTTGAAATTTAAGTATAGGTACACCTCAAATTAATAACAAAGCTTTTGTCAAATTTAGTGTTGAACGCTCACGTACGCAGCCACGAGAGAACAATCATTTTCACTTCAAAACGTTCACAATCTGCGTAAACANGTAAACCGTAATGGCAACATGATTTAAATTCCCTCTCCCTATTCAAATTGTAAACGATTACAAAGCAACCGAGCAAATGAATATCGAATGCGAGGAATAGGTACGACGCGGCAACCCTGGCGCTGCGATGACGCTTCGTGTTTTCCCAGAGCAAACAATCAAACAGCCAAGAGGATGGAACAAATTACGAGAGCATTGTCGAGGTGTTTAGAAAATTGGGGAACAATTGTCCTGCCGAGTTAAATCTTTGATAATGTCTTTAGAGGAGTCGGATGGCATCGAGGGGATGAATAAATCTCACTTAATTGGAGAGCGCGAACGCAGTCGACAACATAATGTGGAGGTATTGTCGCTGCCCGTGCATTCTTCTCGGCCGGACTGAATACGACTCGTCTGGGCTAATGACGTTCCCATAACTTCTGACTGACAATCATGTCGACAAAACCGAAATGCCCCAATCATCCGCCACAATTATAATAAACATGAATGGACTAATTGCTGCTTGTTGGAATAAGAACGATAATCACCCGCGCTTATGCATGCATGAAACAGAATTAACACTGGATTTTTCAAAATTTCACTTTCTCTAAAGATCGTATCCGAGATCCTCTTTAAAACGGGTCGTCTAATAGACATAAAGAATATCTTGATCTCGATTTTTTGTCAACCATTTTTTTATCGCGTCTAAAGATCAACAGTCACTAAAATGACAGGGCAGTTAAGTGGGTTAATGATGGCCATTTGCCACCTCACACTTCTGAGTATCAAATTTCAAGGCAAGTACGAGTTTTTTATTTTAACAATTATGGTCACCATATTCCGCAAGTGAGCAAGCATTACAGTTTCCTTTGTCTGAAGTCAAAATCTGCCGGGTTACACGGGCTTCGTTATGTTATAACCCCGGAAAATATTCTTTGCGAGATTTTTCACAGTCATAAAATAAGAATATCGGGCGTACGCTAACCCGTGCATTCGTTCTGGGGCCACTCACTTGTAAAACTGCTTACTTTATTGCTCTGGTGCTCGCGGTGGAAATACGGAGTGCGATGGCTGTCCAAATTCAAAACCCGGTAAGGGTTACAAAAACTAACAAATTATAGAATACGCTAACACAAAACACTTTAAATATCCTACTTTTGGTCATGTGAACAGTTGACAGACATTTTTACCGCAAAGAACATTTTCTCGAATTCATGTTTTACTGAGTTTTGTGGTTAAACCGCGCAGTTGGCCGCAGCGAACATATGCTTCACATCAAAACCTCTTCACATGGCTAGTTACAGCTAAAATATTCCGATTCCAAACGACGCATACATTAAAGGGTTGAAGAACCGATCGCCCGATAAGATCTCAACGTTAGAGAAATACAAACTAGTTTAATTTAAAATAGGTACCCAACCCAAAAAAAGAGGACACGTTGTAGAACACAGGATGAGCTATTGTTAAATATTTTATCGCCATGGCTAGAAAGTTGATACCGTTTGATTAATCTATTTTCCATTTAAATTAGACACCAAATGGGTTACTGGTGTAATTGTTACAAGCTTGTTACAGTGTAAACAATGGGTGGATCTTTATAGGGGATCGTATCAAATTGTCGGATCAAAACACGTAAATCTAAACTGAACGGTAACGGTTCTGACCACGGCCATGTAAAAGTTCAGGACTCGTTTACACAGTCTGATAGCATGAATATGCGATAGTCCCAAATAAAAATTGAAGCTCTTAAAATTAATACGTAATATATTATGTATTTTACTATACAAAAGCCGATTTAAGATCAGAAAAATAAAGATATTGCCATATTATTTAAAAATACTAGATCTAATCTAAGTAATGGGAACTTAACACTTTGTTTTGAAATATTTTTTGTAAAGGAAAACCATTAGATACTAATACATATCTATATATATAAAAGAAAGTTGTGTTAGTTACTCCACTTATAACTCAAGAACGGCTGAACCGATTTAGCTGAAAATTGTCAGGGAGGTAGTTTAGAGCCAGGAGAAGGATACTTTTACTTTTACATAGGATACTTTTTATCCCGTTCGAAATAAAAAAAAAGTCTGCTTATTTATTGCCATTAAGGCGGAACAAAGTTCGCCGGGTCAGCTAGTTTCAAATAAAACTCAAAATCAGTACTTAGAACACTTTATCTGAAAATAGGTGACGATTAGATAAGACAAATTGATTTTAACTTCGATAAATTGATTATGTTTGCAATAAATAATTTATCTAATAATGACTATGCACTTCGTTGACAAATGAAGGAAATAGCACATTTTTATTTGTTGGACACTTGGAAATGATGTTCCTATCTCAAATAAAATACAATCTGCTTAGATTTTCCTTCTCTCTGTGAATTCGTGATGGACGGACGTGTCGAAGTGTCTCCGCGCTGTTGTTAAATATTTGATATTTGTTGACCGGAGCCCTCGGACTTCGCCCCTGTTGGCTTGGTGCTGCGCCCCGTCTGACCGGAGCACCTTTGCGTCGCGTCGAGCGCGAGTGCGTGTTTTGTGTGCCGGGCTGGATTCGATCTCGGGGCCTCGCGGCTGTTTAGACCGAGCGTGTTCCAACTGCGCCGCGAGATCGGTAAGCCGCGCGACGAAATAAGCAACCATAACCGAACTTGAGTGCTACGAACTTCTACGAACGCGCGCAAACTACGAACCTCCTGAGCGCGGCGAGCTACGAAATTGCTACGAGTGACTACGACCACACTTTACTCTCTGTGCTACGACTGCCGGTTGAACGCGCTCTCACTCGACGACGGATTCCTCGCAGTAAACAACATTTATTAATATTATTATTTGAAATGTCAAAGACGACAAGCTCCTGGGGCTGCTGCGGCAATGACTGCTCGGAGGACGAGAGTTTTAACACAAAATATAACAGAAGGTAAACTCATGTATGTACCTCGCTTTGCATACCTCTCTCGCTCGCACGCTCGGCCGTCGCGCTAGGGTTGTCTTGTCATGTGTTGCGTTTATTTCGTTATGATAGAAAAATGTTACTCTTAATACTATGCAAGAAAAAACAGATATCCACGTGTACTTATTTATATTTAGTTCGTTATTATAGTAATAGTTTGCAAAGAAATACACGAGAAGGAATTATTATTTAGTTGAGTGGTTGACACTATTATCCAACTAATATTATAAATGCGAAAGTTTGGATGTCTGGATGTTTGTTGCTCTTTCACGCAAAAACTACTGAACGGATTTTGATGTAACTTTACAGTAGTATTGTTTATAACCCTGAATAACATAATAGGCTATAATTTATGACGATNAAGACGACAAGCTCCTGGGGCTGCTGCGGCAATGACTGCTCGGAGGACGAGAGTTTTAATGTCTGTTGTAAATGCGGAAATAAGTATCATTTTGCATGCTTATCAATAACGGAGTCGTCTGAATTACCTGAAACTTGGAAGTGTCCTGCATGCATAAATAAAATGCCTAAAACTGCAAGAGTTGACACAACACCGGCCCGTAATGTATCTACGTCTAGGAGCAAGAAAAGGTTTGCTCTCAACTCGCCTCCAGCGCCGTCCCCCCCTGCGGCTGCCGCTACTGTCGATGAAGTACGTTCTATTGGCCAGGATTTATTCAAGCAAGAATTCGATTCTATGTACAAGAGAATAAATGACAGTTTTTCGAAGAACCTCAATGAAAAACTCGCACCAATTAAGGAGGAAATGGAGCAAATTACAACATCCATGTCATTCATGAGTGCCAGATTTGACAGCATCGAAGCAGAACATAAAGCTGCATCCGATACCGTAAAAGAACTGGTCGCAGACAACATCAAACTAAATAATACAGTGACTCATCTTACTCAGCGTCTAAGTTATCTGGAACAACAATCAAGAGCAAATAACCTTGAAATCCAATGTGTCCCGGAAAGCAAGAGCGAGAACCTGATGAATATAATCTCTCAGCTTGGACACGTTGTTAAGTGCAAATTAAATGAGGAAGTCATTGCCAACTGTACACGGGTGGCCAAGGTTAACCCCTCAACTGCACGACCCAGATCGATAGTGGTTCAGTTTGTTTCACCCAAGACTCGTGACCAGGTTCTTGCTGCCACATACAAGTTTAATAAAGACAATCCAAACGACAAGTTATGTACGGCGCACCTCGGCTTTGGTGGTGACAAAATGCCAGTATTTGTGGTAGAACATCTCTCTCCTCATAATAAGGCCCTGCATGCCGCTGTGAGACTACGTGCGAAAGAAAAATGTTATAAATATGTATGGGTTAGAAGTGGTAAAATATTCGCTAGAAAAAATGACGACTCAGGTTACATATTAATTAAGGAATTCAATGACCTTAGTAAAATTGTGTGATTTTGGGTTGCGCGCCTATAAACATGTGTACCATTCAATAAAAATTGTAAAATTCGACGGGTTAAAAATATATTATCAAAACATTCGGGGCCTTCGTACTAAATCTCATATATTTTATAATAATTTATGTTGCAATAATTACGATGTTATAATTCTCACTGAAACATGGCTTAACAGCTCTATGCACGACAATGAGCTTTTTGATCCACGGTACGTAGTTTATAGGCGCGATAGAGAATCCACGGGACATTTGAACAGCAAGGATGGGGGAGGTGTATTGATAGCTATTTTAAGAAGCTTCCAATCAAAACGGATTCCCGAATGGGAGAGTTCCTTGGAAGAACTATGGGTAGTCTTAAAGGTTCGTCTTTCATGTAAAGTTAATCAACTGGCTCTTTGTGCAGCTTACCTCCCTCCCCCGGTCGGCTTGAGCAATTTGAAAATGTTTACTAACAATTGCAGCAACATAATGGAAAATATTGGCCATCCTGTATGTATTATTGGTGATTTCAATCTCCGTCAAATTAAATGGTCCATGCTAGATGTAAAAACCTACTCTAGTTCATTGTCTAATACTTGCAAAACCCTTTTAGATTTTACTTTAGTAAATAAACTTGTCCAATTTAATCATGTTACTAATAAGACTGGGTGCACTTTGGATCTTGTGCTGAGCAATTTGGCATCATGTATTGTAAATAAGAGTGTGTGTCCGCTTAGCATAGTTGATAACCACCATCCACCGATAGAAGTATCTATTACCTATTTTAAGGACAAAAGGTTACCATATAACAGCGATACTAAAAAACCTAACTTCTATAAGGCCGATTTTGTTTCTATTCGCGAGCACTTGAAAGAACTTGACTGGACCTCATTATTTAACACGGATGATACGGTAGATACTATGGTAGCTGTATTTTATAGAGAAATTAATAATGTGATTGATAAGTATGTGCCTTCTAAAAAACTTAAAAAAAGCTCATACCCTCCGTGGTTTAGCCACAGTCTTATTAAAGCTCTCAAGGAAAAAAATAGATTAAGACTGCGCTATAAAAAGTATAGTAATCCTATGGATGGTATAGAACTGGGTATAGTCTCTAAAAGGTGTAGTAAATTGACCGCTCAATGTTACAAGCAACACGTTGATAAACTTGAGGAAGGAATCACTAGCAACCCCAAGTTGTTCTGGACCTTGATTAAAAGTAAAAGAGGAGGCAGCAGTAGTTACCCAGCTAATATGTCTGACGGACACACCTCTACATCTGATAGCTCAAGTATCTGTGAATTGTTTGCCGATGCCTTCTCAGCTGTATTTGATGATGGTAGTAGTCTGGGCCCGGCTGAGTGTATTGATCCCAGCTTTATTGCTGCCCTAAAAGCAAACGCCCTGGGTCTGAATGCACCTTTACTATATTATGACGAAGTGTTGGCTAGTTTAGAATCCTTAGACGCTTGTAAGGGTGCAGGACCGGACAATGTACCCCCTTTATTTCTAAGAGTTTGTGCATTGGAGTTGGCGGAGCCTCTACTTGCTATATTTAACAAGTCGCTATCTGCAGGAGTTTTCCCTTCCGTTTGGAAGATGGCTAAGGTAGTTCCAAAATAAAAACAAAAGATTTCGAAGTAAAATAAGCATTTTAGTTAAAATTAAAATTGTCTCTACCTGTAGCGGAGAATAATGTTGTGGCAGGCCTTTGTTCAAACGATCATAGCAAATGTTGTGATAGGGATAGAGACATGTGATTTTCGGTTTTACAAAGGTAATACAATAGAGAATAATAAAAAGTACTAAAAACCACCGGTTATAGGGGCATTTTTTGGAGAAGTTTATCAAATAACCAAAAAAACACGAATTTAAAAGCAGATTTTTTTCAAAAAGTATCATTTTTTATTATTTGTTGGCCTTTTTTGTGTATTTTATGTATTTTTTTAGTATCGCCTGTTATTTAGCATTATTACTGTTTTTATTTTATCAGGATATACCGCTTAGTTTAAAAGTTATTACGTTTTCTTTACAATAAGTAATTGGAAGAAAAAAAATTCTATAAAAAATTTAAAAAAAATCTCAAAAATTTTTTGACCTCTTTTTTGTCGATAAAAATAGGTCTAGTTTCATCTATTTTCATATGTACACTTTAACGTGACTCACACTGTATAGACATATCTCATAAAAAAAAACAAAGTACAAAACCAATAAGTAGGTAACCTTTATTAGTAGCTAATCTGATATCTTTAGGTTCTCTATACGTTCGCAATTTTCTTGTGACGACTCATGCCTAATACCTATAACATATTTTAGACAACTATGCAAAACCCGAAAGTACCGAAAGAACCGGGTTTTGAATTTTTAAAACCCGGTTCTTAAGCTGTCGAAAAAACCCGGGTTTTCCCGGTTCTTTCGGTTCCGGGAAAACCCGGGTACAAACCCTAGTTCTGACGGTCTTATGACATTGTCGCCGGTTATGCTCGAGTCCGTCGATGAGACTATCAGTGTGTGGTTGGCTTTTTTGGTGGGATGGACATGGTGGTGGCCGCGTAAGTCACCACCCACCATGTCCATCCCACCAAAGGTTCCCACCAGTGGTTAGTGGTGGTCATTAAAATTGTTAAGTGTCCCTACGTTTGTTCACTATAATTCAAAATATAGTAATTACCTACCACTCCCGTACCCGGTTAGAAGTAATGACAATCAAATTATGCATGATGTTAGGATAAATTAAGCATTTTTTGTCATAAAACATAATACCTATTCAATCTATAAGCATTACTTTTGCTTAAAACGTTTAATGTAGTAAGAGTTTAGTAACATTTGCTTATATTTTGATGATGGTAGTAGTCTGGGCCCGGCTGAGTGTATTGATCCCAGCTTTATTGCTGCCCTAAAAGCAAACGCCCTGGGTCTGAATGCACCTTTACTATATTATGACGAAGTGTTGGCTAGTTTAGAATCCTTAGACGCTTGTAAGGGTGCAGGACCGGACAATGTACCCCCTTTATTTCTAAGAGTTTGTGCATTGGAGTTGGCGGAGCCTCTACTTGCTATATTTAACAAGTCGCTATCTGCAGGAGTTTTCCCTTCCGTTTGGAAGATGGCTAAGGTAGTTCCAGTCTATAAAAGTGGCAATAACTCCCTCATTGCAAATTATAGGCCCATATCAATTCTATCAGCAGCTGCCAAAATTTTTGAATCTCTCATCTGCCCACACCTTCAGAGACACCTTAAGCTATATATAAGTAATTACCAACATGGATTCGTGAGCTCTAGATCCACTTGCACTAACCTTGTAGTTTTTACAGAATATCTGACAAAAGCCTTGGATGCTGGTAAGGAGGTTGACGTCATTTACACAGATTTGAGTAAAGCCTTTGACCGGGTCCCTCATGATGTTCTGATTCAGAAATTGTCAGATTACGGCATTACAGGATCGCTACTGAAATGGCTCGAGTCTTACCTCTCTCAAAGGGGGCTCTTTGTCGTGATGAACGGTTCTAACTCCAGTATTCGTAATATTAATTCAGGCGTTCCCCAGGGATCTCACCTGGGCCCTGTCCTCTTTAATGTTTTTATAAACGACCTTCCCTGGCACTTACGACATTCCGAACCTTTCCTATACGCTGACGACTTAAAAATTGCCAAAATTATCAACTCTAAAAATGATGCTGATCTTTTACAGTTGGACATTGACTCCCTAACAACATGGTGTAGTGCTAATAAGATGNTTTTTTGTCATAAAACATAATACCTATTCAATCTATAAGCATTACTTTTGCTTAAAACGTTTAATGTAGTAAGAGTTTAGTAACATTTGCTTATACAAAATTGGTGCGGTGAGATAGTGGCGCCCTCTTGTCAATGTCAATGTCTTGTTTAATGTTTTGTTTTTTGTATTTAAAATGTTGGTTGGAGAGTCACCCGCTGAAAACCAGCGTCGGGGCACGCGTGCATGCACGCGTGGCTCGATTAATGCTGAGCGGGCGCCTTTTTGGCACAAAATATTATGCGTGTATAGTTTTAAGTCCCTTTGTTCTGTTTTTCTGTTTTCTTTTGTGTCAAATAAAGTTTTTCTTATTCTTATTCTTATATTCGTTCTATAGGGTCTGCGTAAGTAAGCAAATATTCATGTAAGCTCCATGGATAATATCGCTTTTACGCATTTTTTCGCTGGCGCATGCGACTATCTTATTTTGTAGTTTAGTAATTTATCTTCGACTTACTTATTAAGCTGTATCTCACTAAGTATTTTTTCTCTTTTATCAAAAAGGTTGTTCAAACTATTTAGCACTTATTGGTTGCTGGATATTTGATTATAAATGGAGGTTAGCAGTTTTACCCTGACTAAAATTTAATGAATTTTCATAACTCTTTTTCTAAAGCGACACCTATTTTACGATCTAAAAGAGCTACAAACCTGGTGTTTTCATTAAAATATAGGCAAAAAATCAAGAACACGATTGCATTTTAAAAGAACAGTTTAACATTAATATCAAAAGAGATACGAATTTTTTTCGTAAAAAAAAAACTTTGATCCTCATTTCCCACAAGTACGGTTTTGGCGCTTTAGTCTTTTTTCCTTTCCACTGACGATATGCTACATTTTGAAAGGTTCTGTTACACTTGTGCTAAAGAAATAGTGCACAAATGCAGAAGGAAAAGTTAAATCTACATTTTCCATTTTAACTCATATGTAGAGAACCGTTTTCTATGAAGAACTGCGGGTTAGAATTACCATTCAACTTTAAACAAGCTTTCCACGTACATAATCACGTAGACCAGGCAAAGATACTTCTCAAACAAAAGACGCCTCGATCCACTATCTTTAATTTTCATCTACCATAACAATAAATAAAACCATTATTCCAATTTGAAACTCGACCCGAAGCAATTCCCGTGCTCAGCAAACTAACCATTGTTTTAGATAAAGCGCGGGCGCCAGCACGGCGCGCTAGGCCAATCAACATATCGACTTCACCCCGCTTTGATCACGCAAGCAAGTATTTACTGAGAAAAACGCTTTACACCAGGGTTTCTCAAAATGGGGTACGCGAACCCTTAGGGGTTCGCCATTCGATGCCAGGGGGTTCGCGACAAGATTTACGTAATGCTGGCAGAATTATGGTTGAAATATTGTCTAAAAATACTCGTAAAATTGACGACATTTGCGACAAGAAACAGGCACACTCAACACATATTAAAAGGGCATCATTTCTTTGGCACTTTTGGTATCTTTTATTGAAATTAAAACCTTATTTTTCTTCAATAGTAAATTTTATTATTTTCTTGGCGAGACTTATGCCCGCTTTCACCATCAATCCCTAATAAATTTTTAAGTGACCCCTTTGAAGACAAAAATCCTGTTATGTGTTACCATAGAGGTCCCTTAAAAGTTAGGGATTGATGGTGAACACGTGCATTAAATAGATAGTTAAGGGGTTCGCTGTCCCCTGGAAACTTTAACAGGGGTTCGTGGAGCCGAAAGTTTGAGAGACCCTGATTTACACCATTACTGGGAACCACGTGCGGTTCTACTCGTTTTCAGGTTGATATTTGGTATGCAGCGCAAGCGGATTCCTTTGTGCAAGGTCAGTTGGACAGGGGTTTGCAGGGAATGGCAATGAAGTTGGGAATATGTGTGCGAATGCGAGTGTATTGTAAAGAGAGGTTATAACTATCGATTTGTGCGTGAAGCTGAAATTTTATCAATAAAGGTTGTCTTTTAGAGCCGTAAGCTTACCTCTACTTCGATACCTTCTATTACAAATCATACCATAATGCTTAAAAAATACCTAATTTTTACCCTGAAGCTTAATTTGTTTTCCATTAACTGTAAAATTGGTAGTTTCTTTGAAGTGAAGTTTTCATTAAGAAAATCTATTGAGCAATCGCGTTTTAGAATCGAATATCTTTATTAGGTTTTGACAGCTCATTAATTTCATTTGTTATGTCAAAGACCCGTTGTCATAATTAATTTTCATTTTAGAATTACTGCCAAATGCATCTAACAAATAAGTAGATTTAAAGGGCCTCTAAATGATATACCTGGCAGGGAAACTTATTAACTCCACCATATCTAAAACTGTACCTACAATACTTTACCCTACTTTGAAAGTACCAACTCAATTGATCTAGCCAGCGAAAGTAAACTGAATCATCCACATAAACAAGTATCGCAGAACTGCGTCATACTTTTGAAGAAATTACAGATTCTAAGAACGATATCCTCATTTTATACAAATGACTAATCAAACGGAGACGCATGTGTCTACAAATTAACAACTAAAACAATCCCGACTCTACTTCGCAAACGAAATCTATCCATCTCCCTTACACTACTGGGAAAGTTACATATAAGAATGAGATGGATGAGCGAAAGATATCGAAAATTCGACAGCGACGCAATATTATGGTAAGCAGACTATGGCGTCAGAGCGTCGCGCCCATGACGCAGCAGTGGCAGGATACAGGCGTCTGGAATACTATTTATAGAGACGATTAGAGGTTAAACCACTAATAAGGCCAGCGTGGGAGAAAGGACACATAAAAATAAGGCGGTAGGTAAAAGCCAGAAATATATTTCTTAGACGTCATACATAATAATGTCACCACACCTACACGTAATAGGTACTCATGAATACTATGCTGCTACAGTCATACTAGCATGTCTTACAACTGCTATAGACCTAAAGCTCTTATGTAGACGATATAATTTTATAGCAATAAGCACTGATGTCATCACTCGTACGTCAACAAGTTAGAATTAATTGAAAAACCTTGCATTTAATGGCTAAGAAAATCGAAGTAGTTTTTTGGAAAAGTCACTACTTAAGTTTTCTGTTTTTCAACTGATTTACGTCCTAAAACCAAATCACCACCGATAGCCACTAAAGGCTTAGATCAATAAAAATCTAATGAAAAAGAATGTCAGACGGATTGTATGCAAAGGAAATTAGTTAGTTGCTCTTCCCAAGAGCAGAAAGATTTTAATATCCGCCTCGTGGAAGAAACTATTTAAATTGTACATTCACTTCAACTCATGATAAATGGAACTAGCGTTTGAAGTTATTTATAGGATTCTTACGGTTTTTTCCATTTCCTGGATAATTTAAAATTGAAATGGTTCTGCAAGGTTTAATATAATTAGTGTGTACAATATATCAAGTTATTTCCACATAACCCTTTAGGTAAATTTGTATATTCTTGGGTCTGGAAAATGTTCAATTGTGATCTGAAAAATTCAGTATATTATTCATTACAAATAAACTACTAAGAAAAAAAAATCCCAACTATCACACTTATCCTCCACAAAGTAGAGTTTTAAATAGACTGCTAGACAAAGATAAATAATAAACCTCCTCTAAATGAAATACTATAGCCTCCTTTGCAGCTTTATCTAGGTTAGTTCAGATCAGATGACACAAAGAGCCCTAGCAAGAGATCGTATTCGCCAGAGAAATCTAATATCCAGATCTCGAATACAATGGAAACTGAAACACTGCCAGACTATCGGAAACTGAACCGTTCCTAACTGCAACTATCATAAAATGAACTGAACTGAGTCTATTTTATTGCAGATGTTTTAACAGCTTTTCACTAAAACCACTGACTTTAAGTTTAGATAAGTTTTACGCCTACAGATTTATTAAGATCCTAAAGTAATTTGGATCTCATGAATTTATATAAAAATCTTATCTCAAAAATGGGCCAGTTCTACGAAGCAGGTGTCGCCAGCGCCGCCCTGGCGGCGTAACTCAAAACCAATTAGCGTGCGCACCTGACTGCGAGACCTTTTTGGCGGGAAACATAATTAATATGTCACGTTGAAGAGCAGTTTGTACCGCATATTGGGGTTTTATGGGTCAACCGCTCATTATGTACACCTATAATAGCACAAGTCCTAAGTTACACGCATACAAATTAAATGGTGAAACAGTCTCGTATAAAACTGCTCCGTTAGTACCATTTTCTTTGTGTTATAAAAATAGTATATCTTAATTTTAAATATATTTACAAAGATATTGTACCTAACTAGATCGATATCTTGCCACTCTTTAAACTCGTAACACTAGAACTGCTTACAGTAGAAAAGTATATGAAATCTAGTGGTTCTCTTTTAAAACAATGAACTCTACAGTTTCGATGCTTCATAAATATTCTCATATTTTTTCACGATCCTAGACGGCACTCACGTTAATGAAAAATAATCCCATTAGCAAGCCAAAACGCGACCACGCGGCGCCAACTCCTGCGAGGATTTAATGCGTTTT